AGGCCCAAAAAGGGGACAACGAGGAAAGGGTAGAGGCATGGACACCTGTTCCTCCTCTGAGTTGCTGCCTTCTGCTGCCTCAGCCCAGCGCCCGCCCTTGCAGCTCTGCACGGCTTGGAAGCCAATGGTGCACTCCCCCCCCTCGGGCGAGAGCCCCGCACGGCGTGCAGCAAAGCAACATAGGGGGGCAGAGAGAACCAGGACTGGCGCTTGGAGTGAGGAGGAGGAGGAGGAGGAGGAAGAGCAGGAGGGGGAGGAGGAGGATGAGGAGGAAGAGCAGGAGGAGGAGGAATTGAGGAGGAACTGAGGAGGACTGCAGCAGGGCGAGGGCGATGAAGCGGAGGAGGGGGGGAGCGGGGGGAGGGAGGGGAGAGGGAGGAGCAGGGGAAGGGAGAGAGGGGGAGAGGCTTCGCTTCGAGGAAGGACGAAAAAAAGGGGCAGGAAGAGGTACGCTGCTCTGGGCACGCTGATGCTGTCCCGCCGCTCGCTTCCGAATAACTGCACGAAACATAGCGTTGGCAACGCCAGCGCCCGCGACGCTACCGGCAGGCCAGGACGCTGAAAAAAGGACCACTCCGGGCTCGGGAGGAGGAGGAGGAGGAGGAGGAGGAGGAGGAGGAGGAGCTGGAGGAGGAGACGGAAGAGGCGCAGCAGGAGAAGGAGGAGGAGGAGGAGGACGAGGAGGAGGAGGGGGAGGAGGACGAGGAGGAGGAGGAGGAGGAGGAGGAAGAGGAGGAGGAGGAGGGGGGAAGGAGGAGGAGGAGGAGGAAGAGGGGGAGGAGCGAGCGAGCGAGCGACCTCGGCAGCAGTTCGACTTCGGGCACGGGGCACGAGCCTAACAAATTTGGGCGCCTGTCAGCGTCCTGAATTGCTGCTGGTTCTGTCATTAGGCGAGGCGGAGGGACACCTGAGGGAGCCCGCGAGGGCCTATAGAGCCTTGGGCCCCTCGTCGGCCCTAGGCCGTCTCCATCCTCCTAATTAGAGCAAAACGAGAGGGCGAAACTCTGGGCTCAACCCTCCCTACCTGCAACTACATACGTAGTTACATGCTTAGTGGACGCTCAGGGCACACTCTGTATATAGGTATGCCCATCGCGTGCTCACTGCGCCGTGCTACACGACATGCATGCATGTGTGAAACATTGAACGTGGTGCTGCTATTCTATAGTGCCAGTGCCACCGCGCTCACGAGTCTCGGAGAGCAAGAACCCTTGCCGTAAATGTCGCGGCTGCCGCTTCGCCATGGCAGTGAAAGTAGAGCTCGGTCTTGATGGACATAACTCGATGCGACTCACATCCCGTGTACCACTCCCAATATGAGGCCGTGGTTGTGGGACATCTGACACATGAAGGCAATGAAAAGGAATGCTATGCTGTAGACTGTACCCAGCGCATGGCTGATGAGAGAGATGTAGTGGTGGTCATGCACTGATAGAAACTGCTGAAGCCGATGGGACTGCGTGTCAAGCAGCGGCAAACAGGGTGGCTTCATGCATTCTCTGCACCTTGAACCGTTTGGGCTGGTCCTTCTGGGTGTAGGCGGCCTTGGCTCGGTAGTATTGGATGAGGTCCCCCACGTGCATGCGTGACATCTTGCTCACCAATATGACGAAACCATCGGGGATCTCTTTCGATGGGCTCGGCAAATCTAGTGGCGCCAGGCCCCCGAAGAGGGCGATCGCGATACGTATGTACAGGCTGCCCAAGTCCTTCTCGCCTGCATTGACCTTCTCCGCGTAGGCTGTGCCCTTCTCCGTGCTCTGCTCCGTCGCCTCATTCTGTGGAATCAGGTAGGAGTCCCAGTCGGAGCCCGCCGAGTGTCTGGGCATCTGCGTCGTGCTGAGGGCCGCGCGCTGCAAGGTCGTCACCTCCACGTGTTCTGCCTGCGTTCCGAATCCAGTCCCAGCATTCGCACGACGTCGCACTCCCGCGGCCGTCATCATCCAGTCCGCTGGCTCCATCATCTTGCGGCCCTGGCCCAGGAACGTGCTCGCGCGCGTGAAGTATGCGTGTATGAAGATCGTATTGGATGAGGCCGCAATGTCCACACGTGTAAGGTGGATCAGGCTCGGGCCGAAAATCGAACGAAACCGATCGAGTAGGGCACTTTCTCGGTGTCTTTCTTGCCATGGTCCACACATGCCGATTGCAGATGCCTTGCTCGCAGATGTTGTCGTACACCATGGACACATATTCGTACGAACAGCTAGTGAGTACTCTTTGCGTAGATGATGTGCAGAATCGACTTCTGTGCGTCGTGCCAACCAGTCGTACAATCTAAGCCTGGCCTGCACCCGTAGACCTGGTAGTGGATGTCGCTGTAGCGCGCGTGCATTGAGTGCCTTCAAAATCGGACGCTTCGCTCCGCAAGCTGTGCCGTCGTGTAACCCGCACATGCACAAGTACTCCCCCCTGCACTCCTCGCCCTCGTCGTGCAGTGGGACAAGGTCCTGCGGCAGGGTAGTCACGTTCCGTTGCAGTCGCCGCCCGAGCACTCGGATCGTCTTGATGGTGAGGATGCGATGCGTTGATTCGGTGGGCGCGATGCAATGGTCGATCTTGCTGTTAGGGGCGCCGCTGAGACATGTTGGCCCCGCATCCCAACAACTGCTTGCAAGGGTCAGGTTATTCTCCTCGATCGCGTCTCGAACGCGCTGCGAAACTGCTATTTCCATCCCTGGGTTTTTATCCCAACTATATGATCAGCTCGATAGTACTTGTGCCCAGTGCCGTCTCTTCGGATGCCGAATGTGCAGTTCAGATCTCCTCCCATAATGTTGAAACATTGATGTCCAAGCTTGTCAGCTGTCTCGGCAAACCATGTCATACTTTTATCGACCGCCTCTTTCGACATTGACGGTGCAGTACCCTTGGGCGGCAGGTAAACAGGGAAGGGAAAGACAGTCACCGTACGTGCTCCAATGCGAAACTTAGTCATGGCGATCCGCCCTGCGATGCTCTTGGACCTTGGTGGGAACAAGGTCTGCTGCATAGTGCCCTTCATCTCCGCGTTGAACATCACCGCCAGGCCGCAGGAGCGGTTTGACCTCCATGACTTTCTGGACCCGAACTCCACGCAAGTGTGATTCATCAAGTTGACCTGCGTCACGTCCTCGTCCTCCGCACGCTCGGTTCCGTTGAGCAACAGAATATCGGCGGTCGGCGTAGGAGTCGATATCTCCTCCAGGCGGGTGTGATCATCCCATTCAACATTGTATGCCAAAACTCTCAATGCCATGGCGAAGACGATTCCTGCGGGCGGAGGGAAGGAAGAGTAGGTACTGCAGGCCAGCCTAGGCCTGCCGCCCCGCATGTTAGTGACCTCCACCCATGGGTTGTACGGTGGTGTGGCAGGTGTGGTGGGAGCTCCTGCTGTGCTGAGAGCCATAGCAGCTCCTAGAGGAGGAGGAGGGGGATGAGGAGGAGGAGGAGGAGGAGGAGGAGGGCTCTGGTTTAGGAAAGTTCTCCAAGTTCAGGTCGAAGAGCCTCTTGGGTGGCCGAGGCTCGCCGAAGGCCAGGGAAGCCCCATTCGTTCCTTTTTACTTTTGCTTCCTCAAAAGAAAGCATCATGACTCCTCAGGGGGGTCTGGGCGGGTGCCGGGGAGGAGAACCGGGAATCGTTTTTCGCCAACAGTCACACACTTCGTGCTCTTCGACCTCCCAGAACTCCATTCCCGGGCCACATTCTGGAGAACCGGGAACAAAGCCGGGCTCGCTTTTCGCCAACAGTCACACACTTCGTGCTCTTCGACCTCCCAGAACTCCACTCCCGGGCCACATTCTGGAGAACCGGGAACAAAGCCGGGCTCGCTTTTCGCCAACAGTCACACACTCGTGCTCTTCGACCTCCCAGAAGTGGATTCCCGGGCCACATTCTGGAGAACCGGGAACAGAGCCGGGCTCGTTTTTCGTCAACGGTCATACACTTCGTGCACTTCGACCTCCCAAAACTCCATTCCCGGTATACATTTTGAGTGGCCGGAGCCAACTGTAAGCCACTTCGTGCTCTTCGAGTTCCCAGAACTCCATTCCCGGGCCACATTTTGGATGCCCGGAGCCAACTGTAGGCCACTTCGTGCTCTTCGATTTCCCAGAACTCCATTCCCGGGCCACATTTTGGATGCCCGGAGCCAACTGTAGGCCACTTCGTGCTCTTCAAGTTCCCAGAACTCCATTCCTGGGCATGATTTTGAATGCCCGGAGCCAACTGTAGGCCACTTCGTGTTCTTCTAGTTCCCAGAACTCCATTCCTGGGCCACATTTTGAATGCTGAGGCAGGCTGATGCTGCGGCCGAGGCAGGCTGAGGCTGAGGCAGGCTGAGGCTGAGGCCGAGGCTGAAGGCAGACTGAGGCTGAGGCTGAAGCAGACTGAGGCTGAGGCTGAGGCAGGCTGAGGCTGAGGCTGAAGCAGGCTGATGCTGAGGCAGGCTGAGGCTGAGGCTGAGGCTGATGCAGGCTGAGGCTGAGGCAGAGGCTGAGGCCGAGGCTGAAGGCAGACTGAGGCTGAGGCTGAAGCAGGCTGAGGCTGAGGCTGAGGCAGGCTGAGGCTGAGGCAGGCTGAGGCTGAGGCTGAGGCAGGCTGAGGCTGAGGCTGTGACTGCGACTGCCGTTGCCGCTGCGACTGTCATCGCGAATGCGACTACGACTGCGAGAACAGCAGAATTCTACAACTGGATTTTCATCTGAATCTTAAGGGGAATGCTTTCAGATATGCTTCTACATATCGCTGTTAGGTTGCTTTGCCGGGATAATTTGACGACCCTCCACTGATAACCCGATGCCCGTTTCCTTCGCCCACAGTAGAAGTAAACCATCCACCCCCATAGTAACTACCAGGACACGCGAAGTTGTTAAGTAAACGCGCCCACAGAAGGAATCGAACAGGGCAGGGCTGTTCAATAAACGCAAAACGCCGATTAGTAAACGCCAATTGTCGGGTCCGGGTGAGTTTTCCTCCCTTGACACAGACCCTATCCCCACCTGGTGGGAGGGTGGGCGGCCTTCAGGAGCTCCTTGGAGGTCTTGGACCGCAGCTCATATGCCTGTCTGGGGCAAGGCCGAGATCTGGGAGCGCCGAGAGTGGCACATCGGAATCCCGTCCGCACCGTCTCGGTGGTGACTGGCTCTCTCTGTCTCGCTCTCTCTCTCCCTCTCACTGTCTCTCTGTCTCTCTGTCTCTCTCTCTCTCTCTATATCTGTCTCTCTCTGTCTCGCCTTCGCGCTCTCCCTCACTCTCTCTCTCTTTCTGTATTTTCCCTTTCTCTGTCAGAAGAATCGAGCATTTCCAGATATGCACATCCTTCTTCTCTCCCTTGGGGCGCGGAACAAGGTGGACTTCTACATGTACATGTGTATGTGTATTCACACAAATACACACATTACGATGTACGTGTACACATACATATACACGTGTATATGAACATGGAGCTATTTAACCGTAAATGGTGTTGTGCCTCTCTCTCCCTCTCCCTCTCTCTCTCTCTCTCTCTCTCCCTCAAGCAACCTGGTGTCGCGCGTCGCGCTACGCGATGAGCAACGCATATTGCTCTGCCACCCTGGCCACGGGCACGGTGACTCATCAGCATCATCATCGTCACCATGATCATAATCATCATCAACATCATCAACATCAGTATCATCATCACCGTCATCGTCATCGTAACCATCATTGTCGTCCTCAGCATCATCATCATCATCTTGTGCGTCATCACCGGCATCATCATCATCGTCGTCATCGCCGTCGTCGTACCAGCATCAGCATCATCAGCATCGTCATCATCATCACCGTCATCATCAGCCGCATCATCATCAGCATCATCATAAAAATCAGCATGACCGCAGCAGCAGTATCATCATCATCAGCAGCATCAGTATCAGCCAACTACCATCATCAGCAGCATCATGATCATCAGCAGCATGACCATCAAAATCAGCATACATATCATCTGACTCGGTAGCATCGCCATCGTGATCATTAAAACCAGCAACATCGACATCATCAAAGTCAGCATCATTGCCATTGCCATCAGGATCATCATGACCATCACCATCACAATCATCCTACCCCTCAGCATCGTCATCATCATCAGATCAGCATCATCGTCGTCATCATCAGCAGCATCATGACCACCCTCATCCTCCCATCCTCCCCCCCTCATCACCAGCATCACCATCGACAGCAGCATCATCAGCAGCATCGTCATCATCAGCAGCATCAGCATCATCACCATCCACCATCATCAGTATCAACAACACTACGTTCATTATAGTAAGCATCTATATCATAGCAATCGCCAAACCATAAGAATCAGCATGCTCAGCATCAGCACCAACATCGACGTCCTCAAGCTCATCGTTATCATCAACCTCATGCGCAACACAATTAGAAACTGCATCGTCATCGTCATCAACATCATCATCATCATCATCATCCTCATCAACACAACCATCATCATCATCATCAACATCATCATCAACATCATCATCATCACCACCACCACCACCATCATCATCATCATCATCATCATGATCATCGTCAGCATCATCGTCATCATCGTCGTCGACGGCTTTACCGTCACCCCGACGATCATTTTGCTATCATCACCACCAACACCACCGTCACCATCAACACTATGTCACCATCTTCGTCATCACCGTGCCACCACAGCCACCACCGTCGTCATTACGGTCAACATCCGCATCAGCATCAATACATACATATCAGAGGAAGACTCCCGTACTCCTCCGCCTCCTCCTCCTCCTCCTCCTCCTCCTCTTTCTCCTGTTCTGCCCCAGTCGCGCCCCATCCCTCCATCGTGGACGCACAAACCCAGGTCAGCGCTGACCGGGGTCAGCCAAGGCCACGTCCCGACACCAGGCCAGCCACGAAGTGACTCGCAAACCTAGGCCAGCGAAAGGCGAGATGGGGGGAGTTGCCCCCACGCCGCTCCCAAAACCAGGTCATCATGCCAGAGGGGATCAGAGTGAATTGCCTGACCCCGTCAGCGCATCCCAGACTCCATTCTTTTCTCAGGCGTTATCTGCAGGCGACCTTGACGCGCGCCATCTCGGCTGCTGGGGGGGTGGGGGGCAGCCCTGATCGGCGAGCTTACTCCGCGCAGCGCTGGGGACTTGAGCCCTGCGCGGTGCCGTAGTTGACGCCGCCGCCGCCGTCGCCGCTATCGTGGTCACCTGTATGGTCCTCATGTTTCGTGCTCCATGTCTTCCTCCTCCTTCTCCTCTTCCACCTCCGCCTCCGCCACCTCTGCCTCCGCACCCTCCCTCCCTCCCTCCCTCTTCCTTCGTTTCATCCACTTCTGCCTCCTTCATCGTCCTCCTCCTTCTCCGCCAGCTCCGCCTCCACATCCTCCTCTCATACTGCTAGGCTTCTTAAGCCACAACCCCTCTTCCGTACCTCCTCTGTCGCTTGGCCCGGCGTTCCGCTTGAGACTTCGTTGCCACTTACCATCCTGAAACTAACAACTCGAACACCTATACGGA